CACAAGAGCAGCATCTTTGCATGTGATGCTCTATCCTAACCCAGAATCACATAGCAATTTTCCTGCCCCAGGGTTCAGACCAGAGTAACTCTGAAAAATTATACAAAGGCAGCTGGACTTCAGAAATCATGAATGAAAAAATAAAAGAATCATTTTCAATATAATTGGGTAGAAGAAAACACACACACAAGCTATTAAAGATAGAAAACCATGAGGGGAAACAAGTAAAAAAGACTGGGTCTTAAAAATTACTTTGCAGGCAGAACTTAGTTATTATTCTCACTTGAAATTTCCAGAACACCAATGAATTTTTTCTACTTTCAAACTTCTGACATCTGACCTGGCAAGACACCTTCACAACAGCAATTTTACTAATCACTGACTTTCTTTCTTATCCTTGATGGATAAATTTTTTGAGACCTGGATGTAAGATGCCAATTATCCATGACCTGCATACTTCAATGCCAAAGTGTTCAGCAAAAAACTCTAGGGCAGGCTGTTCCAGCCTCTTGACAAGAGGAGATAAGTTTTTACTACTGGTACTTACTTGGGGGCCAGATGGGAAAACCACCTTATAGTGTTATGGAAAGGTGAAAGATAACAAAAAATCAGGACAGAACTGATTTGTGAACAACTCGTGGAGAGCTCTAACAGTTTAAGAACCGAGATAAAATTTTGGAAAAATGACGTTTTCTGGTTTTATCCTCAGATCAGTAAACAGTGGGTTGTGTGGAATAAAATATTAAGGATTATGTGGTTGATTACTTCTTTCCCCAGTTTGCCTATAAATACGGCTGCCTGCACACAGCAGCTTCATGAGCAGAAGGCTGAGTTTCCAAGATTTTCATCAAAATTTCAAAGAATCTGGAACCTCTAAATTTCTCCAAAATGAACTGCAGTTGTAAGGAGCCTGGTCACATCTTGAAGTTTGCCAGCATACCTCATGGGACCTTGTGAGAATTCACTAGGTGGGACAGTAGTTCATACAAAAAACGGTATTCAGCATGGCTCACAGCCCATCCATTTCTATTCCTGTAATCAGGAGCAACAGAGCTGAACCTTACAGGCACTTCTTGGTACAAGAGGCAGAGCAAAACATAAGCTAGGGACTGTGAAAGACATGTTGCAGAAGCATCTTCTCTTACCTCCTGCAATATTCTATTTACAAAGAAACTGCCTCAGAAGCATCTTTTCAACTCCGTCTTCTTTGCATATTTATTAAACTCACAGGGGCACAACAGAAATGCTTGATTTTTTTACGCCAGAATCTCATCTCCAGCCTCCACATCATATACCCTATCATTTTTGAAAGACACTCTTTTTTTTTCCAACCAGTTGGCAGGCAGTTTAGTCCTGCACTGATTGATAGAAACCTCAGGCAATTTTCCTAGGATTATTCTGTTTCCACTCTGCACTGCCCAGATCTGCCAGGTTTCATTCACCCCACTTACGTTTGGGAGTGCTGCCTTACACGTTACCAAATGCAGCTCCACACCAGCCCATGCTATAACACTTGTCTGGATCTCCATCATCTTTTGGGCCATACTGCTTCAGGTGAAATGCTAATACATACAGATCTGCTTCAGGTGAAATGCTAATACAATTCTTGCCAAAAAGATATCTCCCTGGTTTCTTCCAAATCAGCAAAAAAGGCATAGAAAATATTGATGATTCCTGTCTTCCTGGAATATTCTCATACTCTCTCTAGGAACAAGCAAGGACACCTCTTTGCCATCCCATTTTTACACATGTGCACAAGGGACATCAAGCAAATAATACCAATTTTCAAAATTCTATAGCAATATATTTATACAAATTACAGAATTCTGTATGTATTTACACACCATTACAGAATATGAAGTAAATAACACCAATTGTTCTTTCCTTTTCCCCTCAGACTTTTCTCCAAGTCAATTTTAGTGCTCGAGAAAGGTGCCAGATGGACAGCACTAGAAAGTGAAGACTTCTGTTTGTGCACAGCACAGGAGGAGAGGCACAGCAAGCCTCCCTGCTTTGCCGAGTCAGCTCTCTGCAGCCCTGTTTTAGCAGGATCACAAAAGGAGCAGGAGGGCGTCCGTACCCCTTCACACCTTGGCAAAAGAGCTGAGCAGCGCCCAGGTGACAATGGTTTTGCCCATCTCCCACCAGAAAACAAACAGAAATAGCTCATTTTACACAAGGGATTGAACAGAATCTCTTGTTCACTACCCGAAACAGGCCAAATTTGACCCAGTGAACCTGCAGGGAGTGGCAAACTGCCAGCTCCTGGGCCTTCCAGTCTTGCAATAATGCCTAAGTTAAATTACATGTTTCTATATTTACATAAAGTCAGTATTTACACACCATTGTGGGTTATTTGAGTAAGTCGGTTACAGTTTATTTAGAAGGACTGCCATTAACTCATAACATTTTTCTCGAGTTTAATCCTTTCTTTAGAAAAATACAAAAAAAAATTAAATAAAACATGTTAACTAGTAGTAATGATTAGCCTATGACTAAAAATCCAAGTCAATTTAACATTAAGACTTTAACTGTGGCCTAGTATTGCGGCCTCGACTCAAGAGTCATTTTAACCTTTGCAAATAATTTCCTGGTGTATGCCAGATTTACTGAAACAGCAGGGAGTTGCAACCTCCCTTCCACATGGTGGGGTTGATCCATTTAACACAGAACACTGAGCCCTAGTCCTGCCCAGAAACACCTTTCTTTCTCCTACGGTCTTTGCGTCGCCCACACAAACGATCCAGCACCCGACTGACCCACGGCAGCTGAACTATCCTCAGGCCCAAAGGGTGGGAGACAAAGGCATGGGCTGCAGCAGAAGGCTGTAAATTCCCAGGCAGTAACAGCCCCTAGACAAGTACCTTAAAAACCAACTAATGTAATTGACAGAGCTTTATCATTCCTAAACAATTACAACAGAACGCCGTGTTATGTTTAAGGTTACCAATATCGCCGGTTGAGACATGGCTCCTCCTACCTGCTTCAGCACGGAAAGCGAAGGTTTGTTCAGGACACCAAGCCAGAGGCCATTCCAGAACAGAAATAAGTTTTGAATTATATAAATCAGGTGAACAAGAGTGCTTTAGAGCAAAAATTTCTTAATTACAAGTAGGCTACAACTTTTTACATCACTTCTCCAACGGAGCCCCCGTGCGTATGCAGACAGCCAGGGCGTCAGGACCAGCCCTGCTCCCAACATATCCAATGGTGGATAAGCTACACTTAGCTTAATGGCACTGGGTTCAAATCCTAAGGGATAAAACAACTACAGAATGCATTTGTCATATGGATCTTAGCATGGTTTTTGTCTCTTTTTTTTTTTTTCCCTTTTCTTCAGAGTACTAGGGGGAAAAAAGCCTCTTCCTGAGGGTCTCTTTCCAGATGGTAACTGCTAATCAATGTGTTTGTGTGCTTATCATAAAATGCTACATACCCTTAAATATTACGTACTGTTTCCTCGCTTTGGGTTTATGAATATTTGAACATACTTTAGGAAAAACAATAAAAATAAGTCTAATACTGTCCCCCTCATTGTCATTATTGATAGAGATTTATTAGTTTCATTTTGCAAGTTTTACTTTAGGAAGGGTGCTAATATCATGTATTATGACAGTTCACACTGAAAGCAATTTTCCATAAAAGGTATTACAATGACCCCTATGGAACTTGTATAATTTCATAGTAGATACTCGAGTGCACAAATAAACATGTTTACAAGAGTGATCCTGTTAACCTGGTTCTTGCCCTCTGAAATATTTATGTGTTCTTTGTGGAATCTTAAAATTAGTATAATTGTTGTTGGTATTACTTATGTTGTTTCTGGCATTCTCTTTAGGAAAAAAAAAAAAAGCATATTTATCATTTAGCTTTGGTATAATCTGCAATAGGTTTTAACAAGTAGAATATATTCCAACCCCTATATTTTCCACAGCTGTGAAATTTACAATGATGTAAGAAGTCACTTTATCAGAGAGGAAATATTACAGACACATAAAAAAAAGTTGAAGACCCAGTTTTCTCTTTAATCCTCTGGGGTAAGCTATGAAACAAGCAGTCAGAAGAGTGAGGACTCAGTGTCATGAGTGGTGTGCATACTTGTACAATAATATGGGCACAAAAGAGATTGTCGCCTTTAGTACATGAGGGTCACTAGAATTTATTATTATTACCTTTTTATTGTTGGCTTTTTTTTTTTTATCCATGCACCTTTATATTTACTTGCATGAATTTACCACAGGTTCATAGTGGCCTTTGCCATTTCAACGCTTACAGAGCCTAAAGCTTCCAAAATGCCTATCTGGCCTGTACATATTTCATTAAAAATAAACTCTATATAATAAATAAATATATAAAATAAATAAAATGTTGCCTTTGGAATTTCTATAAATAAATTTAACCTTTTATTTTTTATTTTTTTTTTACTAAGAGGTCTTTGCTTTAAACTCAGTGGGGTGAGACCCAGAGAGCGATTAACTGAAAAGTCTCTTGTTTAAGTAAGACTGCACCCTCCATGCCTTTGTAAATGCAGCGTACACTTGAGCAGGCCACCAGCCAAAAATCCTGATGAATCGAAGTATGGCAGCTATGCTGATATATGACGAAGTACAACTGATCAAAAATTTAAAAGCGTGTCTATTCCCCAGCATGCATCAGGCCTTCCTCCTCCTCCTCCTCCCCCTCCTCCTCCCCTCCTCCTCTCTCTCGCGCTCTCACTCCCATTCATCCTCTCCCTTTCTCTCTCTCTCTCACTCACTCTCTCGCGCTCCCTCTCGTACTAAATCAAGCGAGTGGGCATAGGCTCTCCTCCAGGAGGACAAACCTTTAAGTGCAGAACAAAATCAGCATGTTCCATCCAAGCCTCCATCATACATTATGCATGCGACAAAGTTTGGCAACAGTGGAGCTGATGTGATGACACAGCTAATCAATAAGAACCCACCGCATGAAACCTTTATAGTGGTTACTTTTTAAGGGCTCAAGTGAAGGAATTGTCTTTGTCAACTTTGGCTTAAAATATCCTTATATAGTTCTGGTACTTTCTCAGGGTCCACTGGTCTAGGTAAAAAATGTGTAAATTTTTGATGCCGTTTAGTCCTAGTCCCTTCTCTTGGAGTCCCGTCTTTATTTAATGCAACGTAGTATCGTCTTCCAGTGTCCACATGTTTATATAGATTTGATGAATATGTGTTATACCAGTTTTCTTCAAATTGCTCTCTGAATACACACTCCTGGGTTAATTTTTCCTGTGGAAAGAAAAGAAAGAGAAGTAAGGAGACAGCCACTAAAATAAGCTACCTGTTAAAGAATTAGTATTTTAATGGCTTGAATCTGGTATCTCCTTGCTAAATTGCAGAATAAACTATTTCAATATTCCCAGTTTTAGCTATGTAAAGCTGCATTTCTGGGTGTTTCAGGAGGCAGTCAGAAGGGTGGAAAACCCTATGTGAAGAAAAAATGAATCTCAAAGCCTCATTGCCCAAATCAATACAGCAACAACAAAGATGAAAACAGATACTTTTTATTTCTGATAGCTCCCAAGCAGCTCACAAGACCTTACTGGACTTCTATAACTAATAGTTTCAATGGTGGCTGCAGGCACTCAAACAAACAGATATAAATAAAGGAAACTAGAACCAGTCTGCAGGGCTGTAATAAAATTCACAGTCTTAAAATCTCTATGTCATTTGAATGCATGGAGAACTTGATGCATTTCATTAATTTAAAAACATGAAATTTGCTACCCTTCATTTGATTTACTATTTGTATCATGAAGCCATAACCCAATAGAGCTTCAAACAGGAACATGAACCCTGTGTGCTGAGATGAAGCAGGCGAGGAAGAGCCCTCCAGCTTTACATTATCAGGGTTGTCCTTGTGTCCCATCCTACTGAGGACAGGACCCACTGAGGATATCAACCATTCATCAGGTGCCCCTGCTACTACAGAATCCCACTCCTTCCAGCTGACCCCTTTCTTCAGTCTGTGTGTTGCCTTCTACATCTTTATGATTGCTTAAAATTGCTTTTGAAAAATTGCTTAATAGAGTGCCTAAAACACAGCCATCTGATAGCCAGATTCATTTCAGGAAGGACTCCCACAAATCACTGAACAAGAACACTGGGAAAAAAAGGTGGTGAGCTGTAGCATGGGAGAACTGATGGGTAGCTGGGGAAAATAAGCCTGAAAATAGTCTTTTCACCAGGCACAAGAAAAAAAATAATGATAATTCAATGTATTTATTTGTAACAAATTCTCATTTCAATAGCACTCACATCAACCACACCCAGCTTTCAACTGAGGATCAGTTTCTAATCGTTACAAAGCTCCATACAATCTATGTGTTTTACAGACATTAAATCTTAAAACAATTTTTTTAGATAGGAGCACAGAGAAGGAAAAACAGAGGCCAAGGCCCAGATGCATCAAAGTATGTATGGCACCTAAGCCATAAACTTGAGCCACAGCACGAGCACCCCTAAGAAACCACCTTCCATGACTTAACCCAGGAGATTCCCAAGGTCTACCATCACCAAAGACTGTAGCTTCCCTGAAGTTGCAGGTGCCTTTGGGGCCACCTCTGCTGCTTGAATCACCTCACAACCCTTTCCCAAACCAATGTGCTTCAGCCCAGATGTTTCATTGCTGCTCTGTGTGGCAAGCACTCTGTTCCCAGGGCAGCCCACTGGGGCTGGGGATAAGCCAGCTCCAAGGAGCCCTACACACCTTACAGAAGCCACCCAGGCATTATCCCATGTGGGGGAAACAAACCCCATGTAAATGGGGAAAGGAAGCCAACACCCCTCTGCACCTGTACAAACTGGGTGTTGAGCTGCAAAGACAGAGTCCTCCTCAGGCCCTCCCAAACACCTAAAGGTTTGGGATTTGGAGGGATCTTCTAAATTAAATTTGTGGCAACGCCAGTAGGCAAGAAAGGCAGCAAGTAAGCTGCTCCTGACTTCCCCTTTAACGGGCACTGGGTACCTCATTACCACTCAGGAAGGAGAAATCCCAGACAGGACCTGGTTTCACATGTTCAACACCTGAAAATTCACTATGGCAGTGACTTTATCCCTTTGTGGATGTGACAACTTTTTTTTAGAGTCATTTCTGACTATGACATTTTTAGTTCAAAGTAGTTCAAACACAGCAGTAGTCTATACCGGTTATAGGCAAAAGAAGCACAAATCTGTTCACATTAAACCCTTATCTGTGGGCCATTCCCTGCAACCTCCTACTGATAATTGCCTCTATGTCCTTTGCCAGCTTGAAACCGCAGCCGCATTGAACATCACCGGACCAGCAGCAGCTGCCAGTTACACCCATTGCAGTATTCCCCTTGTGCAGCCTCAAAAGTGCAAACTATTGTAAAGGGTGTTCAGCTGCAGAGAAGATTATCTTTAAGTACAGATTTCATTAGTGTTTTATTTTGCATGAGGTTTAAAATCATCTATGTTTGTTTTAAAGCAGAATCAGATGCTAAGTGGTATTATATACTGGGCTTATATAAGTCCATGGGGAAAGAGAAACTAATTCAAATTGTTTTCCTGCTCTCAGAAGGCAATAGGATCACATGACAAGCACTGCAGAAGAACTCCCTGCTAAAAATAGCAGCATTTTAGGAAGATATTTCAGTCCTGTCATGAATTCATTAATTATTCACTTCATCTGCATTTTTTTTTAGCATCATCATAAATTTCTATCTTTGCAGGAACAGTACTTCCCCATGCCCTGAAGGAGAAACTTTAAAATAGCCTCCCTTTATCTGACAGGTTTGATGGATCATGACAGTGCTGTGGTACACGTAACTAGCAGACCCTGAATGAGGGGGTTTACACTGTACTGCACTATGGATAAGTTAAATGGATTTCAAGCTCACAAATTCAATCTTCATTTTACAAGCTTATCCTATTTTAACTTTCTATTAACTTACAGCACAGCTACATCTCTTTCGTCCTTCTTCAAAATTCTCAGAAATTCATGTACAAACGTGAGGCAAATACTTGAACATGAACATGACAGAGCAATCAGGACGTAATGTCAGGTAGGGACATTAACAATCAACCTTTAACAGAAATTAAATAATTTCTTTATATAGTCAAGCCTTTTCATTCTAGGAGACCTAGAAATTCTGATTGTGGTCAGACACCATTGGAGGAAATCAATGCTGGTGACTTTGGATCACATCCTGTAAGTAATGTGGGACACTAAAATCCCATAATATCCTTCTCCCCATGCCCTGGATGACTCTTACAATAATGTCTCATCTGGTACCTAGAGAGACAGAAATCAACATCCATCAGGATAGTCATTTATGTAGAATCACAGAATCCTTTGGGTTGGAAAGGACCTTTAAGATCATTGAGTCCAACCATTAACCAACACTGCCAAGCCTACCCCTAAACCATGTACCACTGCAGCCCTCCATGTTGTTAATCCTTATGCTCACACTTTAAGTATGCATGTCATTATTCCAGCCAGAAACGAGCATAACACAGAGGTGAGGCTGGTCCATTGTGCCAACACCACCCTTTTGTCTCACCATCTTAGGAAAGTCTTGCTGAAAACCAGCTCTCCTGGTATGGAAAGGCTGTGGTGTTTCCTGATCACATTTCTCCTTCTGGCTATGACTTTTTGAAAGTACTTCTATGCACATTTGAAGAGCAAGATTTAGCCCTACAATACAGCAATTTTTGCATACTTTTATTCCAGCAACTCTATCACTTTTCCAGTGCAAATATTTCCTTGCACCATACTTAAAGTTGCTGGACATCTTTGTCAAAAGCTGACACAAATACCAAACATACCCAACTGGAACAGCTATGGAAAGTAACCTGCATTCCTGTGAAAGGGGAGGCTGCCTGCTTTGCTCAAATCATTTAATTCAGGGCCAAATAAGGAGGTGACCTCAAAATTATATAAATCAGATGTTGCACCACATTCCACATGTTTTCACAGTGAAGACTGTTCATATTCAACTACAAACTGATTGATTTTCATTTTGCAACATTTCCACGCTTCACCTGTTTGGTTTTTTAACCTGTTATTTAACTCAGAATGTTCAAACAATTGAATTGTACAAAGATGCACATATCTCAAAGACAAACCCTGAGAAAGATTTAATTCAGAAAACTGCTGATGGCTGGTAAGTGTTAGCAAGCCCAGGATCCCTTCCCCTTTTTACATTCTCCACCACCTAACAAAGGAAGAAAATAATTCTGTTATCCTATTCCCAGGCAGATTGATTAAAAGTCAGATTCTAAATTAATAAAGTGTATTGTTACAGGCATCACAATAAAAGTTCTGCTGGCTTGTTTTAAAATGGCTATCCATGTGAAGTAGTTAATTGTAAATAAATAGAAAACATGGAAAACACATGTACACTGCTCAGAAAATGGTTTCATGACTCTAAAGAATGTAAGACATTTGTGCTGCTTGGTAGTTGAAAGAACAGTACAGGGTCCTATATACAATATATACAATACATCAGTTTCCTTCCTTCCTTCCTTCCTTCCTTCCTTCCTTCCTTCCTTCCTTCCTTCCTTCCTTCCTTCCTTCCTTCCT